TGTTGTGGTCTCCCAAAATTGTAATAAACATGCTTTTATGTCCCGGTGTCCTCATATGAGGACATGTATGAAATCATCGTCCTGTTTCGTAACAGAATGTCATATTTTGATTTGAAACCCCATAATTTCCAAAGTAAAAAACTCTTCTACATCTTGGATGGCCTGTGGTTCAGTAAAATCTCTGGAAATTTTTATTTCTGGGTGAACTATTCATGACAAAAAGGAGACTTCATTATCAATATTATCATTATCATACAGTGATAGCAAGGAGAGGTGTTGCCAGAGTCACGTCCCACTGCTCACAATCTGCTTCTTATTGTCTCATTTGAGTCTGCGTCAGACATGCAAGCTCATAACGATGCCCACTTCTCAAACTCTGCCACCTAACCCCCTGCGCTGGAGCCCATTTGATTTGCTCAGACAGTGAAAACATGCCACAAGATCTACCGCAGCTTATCAGTGGGAGGACAGGATTAAAATACCCCCACAGATGAGAAACACATTTCAAACTTATTGGGAGGATTTGGTTCAATTATGAAAAAAAATACATTCCAGTGCTGCCTCTTCCAATCTCTCATGATTTTTATATTAAGTGGGTTAATGATGTAGCTTTAGGCAAGTACACAACACCGGAAATGCTGGGTCCCTGCAGATGTGTTAAAAACAATGAGTGTATAAAAACAAGCCCATTAAATAGTGCGAAATGGAATGGAGAGAATTTTGTACTTTCAAAGACTTTACTCCATACAGTTCAGGATGCTTTGCAAATGTTTGAATTTTTCTTCATTGTGGGGTACCATTCCCATTGACATCAATGGATTTGTGGTGTCCTCTGACATAGCGTAACCATAGACTAAAAAAAGATGGTCTCCGCGTCTCCACTTCCTTCCACTATAGAAAAGTGAAGCCAAAACATCCCAATATGGCCACTGCCATCTTGCGCCAATGATGTCATTTGGAGCCCGAGTCTGTGCAGTAGTGATCGTGAGGTGGAGTCGTGATATCAAAGTCCCACCGAAACTCCTGCAGACCCAAACGCATGCTCACAATCATGACACCACACTTCATTTTATAGCGTCAAATAACTAATTAAAATCAAACTTTAAAATTAACACTTGAACATACATCAGCATTATAAGAACTACCTGAAATGATGGAGACCATCTTTGTGAAAATTTTATTTGAAGTGTAATTAGATTTTTTTGTTTGGCTTAAGTCCCATTCATTTACATGGAGAGGGCGGGGTTTATGACCTATACTGCAGCCAGCCACCAGATGGCGATTGAAACGTTTTGGCTTCACTTTTCAGGACGTGTATGGCACACTTGAGCGTAATGCATAGATGCCTTCAGCATGTAGAGCTGATTAACCCATTGCTAAGTTCCACTCCTTTTGGTAACTGTTGCCAACTCGGGGGGGCGTTTACACAATACTGTTTACAACTAAAAATGGTAAAGGCGTTTTGGCCGTTCATTCACACGACAACAGCATTTTGAATTCTTTTTTTTTTATATATATATATACTTTTTATTTGGAATACAATAATTGTCTCACAAAACACAAATTTGTGTAAATGGTGACACCATGCATATGCATATTATGGGTTTAGTCTATAGGTATGCGCGAGTACTTGACAACTATAATATAATATTT